AGTCTTAATTGAAGGTCTTAAACTTAGATACTACAACTTTTAACTAAAGGAAAACAATTTTGGAAGCCTTCCTGGTCTTACTTAAATTGGATAAGCATGTTGAATTAGAGGAAAACAACAGCTGCAGCAATCATAATATGCATCTCAAACCTTATTGCTATGCCACTTTTCTTCTTCTTCATCTCAGCCAATTCCATTTCCAAGTTCGCTATCTTCTGCACAGTCTCAACCTGTGCATTCTGGAGCACTTCAATTTCTCCCTTAGCCATGAATAGGTCCATCTTCTCTGCTACATCACCAGCATTGATATGAATGAGACATAGCTCCTCCATGACAGCCTCATCCCACCACTTCCAAATATGAAATTCTCCATTGCCTGCATTGGGACAACTAAAAAACCTCCTTCCTGGGTCAATCCGAGAACGACAAGTATCGATTATAGCCCGAGCTCCACAATAACATTCTTCCATAAGCCCATATTCTTTTATTACATTCCTTGCACTGTCTCCCTTACCACTTCTACTTGAAGTTGACGGCTGAGTATAGCTGTGAATGCCCATCTTCGTCCTACAACATCAATAAAATTTTAAACAAGTTGGTCGAACACACACATTAACAATTAAAACAACACACAACTAAAACATCGCCAGCGGGTTCAAGAACAATTAAAACCCAAAAATTCGAGCATGATTAGTAACAAACTATTCACTTTCCATACTTATTAATAGATCTCAAAACCTCGAATTGACATTTCTACTTCTAAAAACATCAAGTCATTTTCTCAAATTACAAAATTTCTCCGTTTTGTGATACGCTTTCAACCTAATTACCAACAAAATGAAGCCAAATATTTAATTTACTAACCTCAGAAGCAGATGCAACAATATCAACCTTCAATTTCGTTGACACTTGAACGTCGACAGAAGAAAGAGCAAAATCCCTAATTTCTATTTTTCCCCCAATTGCTTGATGATGCCCTCCCCTCTTACTTAAACCAAAATAAAACTTCTTGTTGTTTTTACTCTTTACAAACGCAGCGTTTACTCTTTACACGTCATCGATACAGCTGAGGTTTATATTGCGGGTTGACCATTGTGTGGAGGATTGACTTGCATTTTTCGAGAATGGAGGGTACAATTGCAAAAAAAAACACACTTGAGGGTTGATTTGCAGAAAACTCGAAACATTCTTATGATCAATAGGTTTTTTTTTTGTTTGACAACAGATCAATAGGTTTTAAAGAAAGTGTAGTTGCGACTTCATGATCTTTGAAACTCACACCACTGTACAGTACTCTTAGCTTATTATTCAAACTTGCAATGAGCAGCAACAACACTGAGCCGCATTAAACCATGTACTTCTCACTTAAATTCCATCATCAAGAAGAATCCATATCACTTAAAAAAATACACACCAATCACTTAATATATCAAGAAACGAAAGATGTACCCTGAGTCACAAGGTGCAATGGTTATACTATATCAATTGGGACAAAAATTTGGAGGTTTCCCATGTCTCAAATTCAATAACTGTTATCCCCACAAAGAGGCTTGCAAACTCTTTGATGGCACATATTCCGCATTAGAACCATCTCCTACCTTTCCTCTCATGAAGTAGATATTCAAGTTACTCTCATATATCATGATTAATTGTATATACAACATCTAAGAAAAAAAAAAGCACATCAAAAATCCCTTTCAGCTTAGAAAGAACATAAATCTTAAGGATTTGTTGGTATCATACACATTACACCTTTTTCCCAAATCGCATACGGAGAAGGCTATACAAACACCTCTGCTTCTCAAAAATATTTCTTCCTTTCTCATATAGTTTTGTACCCTTTTACATTCATATCTTTCCATACGTTTTAAGCTGAAGGATCAAACAAAAATAATATTGTTCATTTATCATATATTAAAATATTATTACTCATGAGTCAACACTTTCTTAGGCCGATAATGATTTGTTGCCCTTCTTCTTTGGATATTGTTTATCTCGTAGATTTTCTTTCCCTTCCACTGAGAGATCACTGACCACATCATAAGCTTTAAGTGGCTGAGTTTCTTGCTTTTCAATGGTATCCGATCAACTGCACTTTTCCCATAACCGGAAGTTCTTGTCCCTATGAGGCACAAGTAACAAAACCAACTTAGAGATTTGATTTACATAAAAAAGAAACAAACCCAACACTCTTAAAACAATAGAAGTTCGAAAGAACAAATTTATGAATTGCCCCTCTAATAAGCAAACATAAACCACATCTACAGTCGAATTTCAGAACAAAAATAAAAATAAAAGGAAAGTGGATTGCAAGATCCATAAAATGGATAAAGAGTGGATTGGCGATTCTTTTCTTCTCCATGTTTGGATTCTTTTATATTGGTATATTAAAAACACATAATAAATTAAATATAAAATTTATAAACCGTGTTACTAAAATTAAAAACAGATTAGATCATTTTAAACGAAAATACAGACACTAAAATAAATCGGAATCACATGTTGTAAGTTTTGCTTATGAAACATTATGAGCCAATCTCTAAAAAGACAGAATCACAAAGTTGAGTATAAAAAACTGCAGCAGCATTTAGAGTTTAAACAATGATTAACAGAGCATATGAAACATATCGGAAAAATTACCAACCAGGATCATCCATTCATTGACAAGTATACTTGAACCGAAATATTGCTGAAAAGTGTATTGTAACCGATGAGTAAGCTATTCACAATTTGAAGACATTTCAGAGTTTTTGCCTCGGCTATGTTTTTTTTATGAGTAGCTATTCACAAAGATGGCTTCTGCATTTGAAAGTTATGAGCCATTTTTGGCTCAAATATATATGCTTTTTATTAGCTTCTTAGCATCTAGTAAGCAATTCAACAGCTCAATGTCATACTCAATTGCAATTCCAGTCTAGAACCACAAAAATAAAGTGAAACCAACGAACTTAACATGAAAAAACCAAATTATAGAAAAAAAATACCCACCTTCTGAACCACGGCAAATATGACGTGATCTCCAAATACCAGTTATGGAATCCCATCCAAACGAACATGCGCATAACTACCTCAAGAGTGGAAGACAAATAAACAAAACATGAGTAATAGTTTAAAAAAAATCTAAAAATCAAATAAATTATAATCAAAAACAGGAAAAAACAACAAATATGCGCAAACAAAGTAAATAATCAAACATAACGTTGCTTCTAAACAATCATTATATGAGGAACTCAGCTGATGCGTCATCCAATTTTCTTATAATGACACCGACTTAGCAGCTAACAAACAGTAAATAGATTATCCTACAAGTGTTCAAATTATAGAAAAAAAACTCATAACCCAATTTATAAAAATAAACATAGGTCCAAAGATTTATTCCACAAAACATACCTATGTTGGAATTCAGAGAAGGCGATTGGAACATACAATCTCTAAGGGCAAGTTCATGGATTGTCACGGTACCTTGAGACTCAAAACTAACAGAGTGAATATAGACAGACAATCATCATATAATATAAAAGTTCATGGCATAGTGCATTGAGAGCGTCCACATGGGATTAAAAACTCGATCTGATTGGTCCACATCAGCATATTCATTAAATAAAAAAATGTTAAGTATGATTATGAAAGAAAAACTTGATTTAATTGGTCCACATCAGCTTTTAAATCAAACCAAAAATTATTAAGTATAATTAAGACATTAAAAGTTAATTTGACAAATTATGTCCAACAAAAGAGTAAATTCAATCTGATTGATCCAAATCAACATATTTATTAAATCAGAAAATGTTAATATGGTTTAAAAAATTTAAAGTTAAATAAAAAAATTAACAATTAACAATACATATATAAAAAAGTAACTATTATCAATTATCAATTTAAAAATATCTACAACAACTCGAATTAACAATTAAAACAATGAAAACTGAATAAAAATATAACATAAAAATCTTGGAAGACATGATAGAGAAGGAAAAAATAGTTTTGCATGATCATTACAGCTTCCTAACAAAATTAAATATGAATCAACATGAATCATGAATTATATATACAGTGGTACACAACATCAATAAGACTTTCAGTAAAAAACTAAATATTTGAACACATAAACCTTCAAGAAAAAAGAACTATAGAAATTCTATGGAAAGCAGAAAATAATACCAAAAATCTTAGCAAGATTATATTTCTCTAAATCAATGTATATGTACGTCAAAGTTAGATAATTCGATAGGTGTCATTGATAAATTACACATTATATATTAAATTCTCTTATATAAATGAAAATTTCTATAAATATATATAATTTTTAATAATTTTAAAGATAGTAGTTAAAAAAATAAACCAAAATATTAATACAGACTCGTGCGTAGCGCGAGTTATATACCTAGTCAAACTATAAAAGAACAAACAAAGTAAAACAATCACAACTACTGTTTTATGGAACCACGATTGAACAATATATAGCGAAAAAAAAACAGAAAATAAACCTTACAAAATATAGAAAATATGACAAACCGTTGAAAAACAGTGGTCATATTTATATATAAGGCTACACATTCATAGTTTACTTTTTTTTAGCATAAAATAATGATATTAGAATATACGAGATCAAATTTAAATTTATTTTAAGTGTTCGGCCATATTATTATCCGATAACATATATGAAAATATACATATTTTATATATCATAATTAAATAAAAATTTAAATTTAGAAACAAATCAGCAGTAAAATATGATAGAAACAAATTTAGCCTTACGTACGAGAGAACAAAAAAAACTCCGGAAATCGCATGATTAAACCAGTAAATACAAAAATCCCACAGCATTACACCGTAAAATGACCTAATTCAAATCAAAACCATTTAAATATTTGGTAGCTACGGGGTAGGCTTACAAAAATAAAATAAAAAGTTGGAAAGTCTTTTTGTAAGAGCCCTACCTCAATATATTATAATCCTACGGTTTCTGGGATCTTCCTGGGAAAGTCAAGAAAGGAATAATGTTTACGGCTTCGAGCGAGGGCGGTGATGATGGCGATATCACCAAATTTGGAGATTCGACGGACTTGGTTGTTAGTCCTCTGGCGAAGAAGCCGAGGCTAGATCTGAAAGTGGAGGCGGAGGCGGAGGCGAAGGTCGAACCAGAAGTACGAATTCTCCGGCGACCGGATCTGAGCGACCCGGATTATAAGAGACAGCGAGAGATGTATTTTGAGCAGTATGAAAAGAGCGAGGTGATATTCATTCCTTTGATTTAGGGTTTACGTACGTAGATGTATTCTCGTTTTCTGGATTTGTTGTGTGGGGAGTGATGGGTTGGTGTTTATGATTATAGGGTTACGATGTGGACTGGGATAGTATTACTTACGACTTCGCTGCCGTCAAATTCGAATGGGGAGGAGATTTCGATGATGTTATTAGCAACGATGAGTTACTCAAACGTCTCATAGAGAGTGCCATCGGAGAAGAGAACGAAGAAAACGTCAGAGCTCCTTGATCATCGATGAATTTTTATTTTTACTTTTAAAAAGAAAAATTCTAAATTTGTTTTGTTTTGCTTTGTATCTTGCAGGGAACACAACTCGAGTTTGTCAAGTATGTGAGCGCAAATGTAATAGGCGTCCAAGGTTTTCTGTTTTTTATAACATTTTGGGCCAAAGATGTTTCCTCACCAGATCCAGAGCCAAAGCTTTACCAAACTAAGGTGAGGAAGTTTATGGATGAGGACATTGTGGTTGACTTCAGGCTAAGGCCAACACAAGAACTATTTGGATCTATTCTTACACTAAACATGTAAAAATGGCTTCATCTCCTCTTCTAATCTCCTCTTCTTCTTCTTCTCCTGGGCATGTCAGTGTCTTTTAAACCAATTCAGGCTAAGGCCAACACAAGAACGATTTGGATCTATTCTCACACTAGACATGTAAATGGCTTCATCTTCTTCTTATAATCTCTTTTTATTCTTCTTCTCCTGGCCATGTGATTACGACGTCAATGAACTCCTTGTGTGGAATCATTTTTTTTTTTTACTTCTTACGCAACTTTAATGTAATGCCCTTATTAAAATTAACGTGTTAAGACTTCAATAACTACCAGCTTAGCCCATAGGCAGAAGCTAAACATCAAATTCCAAGTCAAGGAATCCAGCATTGTTATTAGATTTATTTTAAATAGTCAAATATATATTGGAAGAAGTTTTGTTGATCTTTTTCTCGTCGAGCAAAGCCAAACATTATCTGCGGATTCGTACAATATATGATTTATAGGGTTTTGGAATTGGACCATGGCTGTTTCCGGCGATTGCATCCGTTCCCAAGATTCGGCGGAGATCGACATTCCGCCACCAAAGAAGCTGAGGATAGACACAGAATCGGAAGCGAGGGCAAAGGCACCACCAGGTTCCATGTTCTACAAGCACTACAAGAAAACAGGTCATTTGCGTCGGAGGAATACGTCGCAAGACCGTCGCAAAAGGACATTTGCGGCGATGTTGCGACGAAACAGAAAACGTCGCAAATCCTTAGCTGCAAATCCAAAAACGTTGCAAGTCCGTCGCAAATCTTGCAACGGAGAAAAGTCAACGCACATCCGTCGCAAACTTTGCGACGAAACGATTCGTCGCAAGTATTGCGACAGAAATAAATCTTGCAAACTCGTCGCAAAACATGTCGTCGCAAATTGAACGCAGAGATTGCAACTGAGTTGCGTGAAAGTTGCTGCCGGAATTTTATACCCATTGCGATGGCTTTGCGACATCATTTGCAAACTTACAAACCACATTATTGAGACGAGCCGTCGCAAAGCCATCGCAAATTTATTAGAAGAGAAGTCGCAAAGCCGTCGCAAAATTATTAGCAGGAAGTTGCAAATCCGTCGCAAATTTATTAGTTGTGCTGTCGCAATGTAGTTGTATTATTAATAGTATTATTAGTAAAAAAATTATATTATATGAAAAAATCAAATTAAAAATATTGTAAATGCAAATAAAATTATAAATAAAACATAAAATATAATTAAAACTGAAATTAAAAATTTAAGTCATTACAAAAACTAATGTAAATAAAAGACATAAAAGCAAATAAACTACAAATCCGACTCAGAAGGATTAGTCGAACTACTTGCCATATTAGCTTTCAACTGAGCAAACTGTGGATCTTTCGCCGCCAGATAGTCGAAGAGCATATCATAACTCTTCATCTTCTCAGACTGAGGAGGTGTTATTGGTTTTTGTATTTTAATGGATTTGAGAATCCAAATCAAATTCAGTGTTATTTGTTCTTGTATTTTAAAATTTATATTGAAATACAGTGTTATTGGTTCTATGATTTTAAAATCCATAATGAAATACAATGTTATTGGTTCTATCATTTTAGAATCTAAATATTATAAGGATTTGAGTTTTAATTGAATTTGAATGGATTTGGAAGGATTTTTATGACTAAAATACAAAAATCCAAATACAAGGTCTAATCTTGGTATTTGAGTGGATTTATTTTTTTTTCTATTTTGCTGATTTTGAAATCAATAAATTTATCAAATCCAAAGAAGATTTATAAATCCACCAAAATACAATAACCAATAACCCCTACTGAGTTTCAAGCTTCTCGGATTGAAACTCAAGCTTCTCAGACTGAGTCTGAAGCTGACGGGCCTGATCCTCGATAATAGTCCTCATAGCCTCCGTGTCGGGGTGAGATGAAGAAGAAGCAAATACAGCTGAAGAATCGATCTGGGACTGCAAAGAACCGACTCCGAATATTCTTCTCTTTCTACGAGAAGCAACCTACAAAATAAAATAAAATGTTAAAAAAAAAGAAATTTATATGTAAATTTATAAAATACGAAAATTAAAAAAAAAACAATTACCTCAATAAAGATCTTGTTCTTGTCAGCTACAGACACTTCGGCATGTGTACCCTCGGGATCATCCGGATCTGCCTGACTCATATCCGCCATCTTTGAAGTGACGTCTTTGTAGATCTTTTCCGAATATCCATCGACAAAAGATCCATCCGGCTTGCGTTTTGTCTCCTCGAGGACAGCTAGCAAATCCGGAATATCTATTCCGGTCCGTAGAGACTAAAAAAACAAAAAATATTATTATAAAATTTAAATAATATGCAATTAGATTGATAAAAAATAAATTCGAAAAAACTTACAATCTTTCGAGCACGGGCAGTGAAAGACGTCTGACCAGAAAGATGCTTAGAAATCCCATATCCGTCGGGATCACTGTATCGAGCCTTGCGGCAATTGCCACTCTTCTTCTCGTTTGCCGGATCTAACCAATACTGGACTAGACCCTCCCAGACTAGCGGATCTAGCCAATCAGGCCTCGCATCATCTCCTTCGAGCTTCCACTTCGCCTTCCACCGACCAATGTGATCTGTCATCCGTTTCCTGAGTTTCGCTTTGAACTCATCGTACACTCTTCCATTGATGCCCCAGTCCCAATGATATTTTTGCTGCCAAAAAAAAAAAAAAATTAATGTTAAACAGTAATTAAAATAAGTAAGAGTCAAAATAATTTTTTTTAAAATTATATATAAAAAAATCAGAACTTGATATACTTACCGCAAATTGCTCATACCACCTTTGAATAGTGGCCTCAGAAGTGAGAGTAACATTAGGAGTTGCACTTTTGAGATCTCTCGAAAATATCTCACGGATAGAAGTACCCAAGCAACTATCCGTAAACCTGCAAAAAATACATACATATTATATAAAATAAAATAAAAATATATTATAATTAAAATAATAAAGAAAAGAATATTTTATCATAATGTACCATGAGGACCATGTGGTACAAAGCGGATTAGTTTGTCATGATCCAGACTCACCAAAAGAGTGCGGATTGCCAAATCATGAGCAATATCCGCAGCAGAACGTCCTATCGGTGGAGGTGGAGGTGGAGGAGGTTGGGTCTCGGGAACAGCAGTAGGAGTCGCCTGCGAACTAGACCTGTGAGGAGTAAACCGAGAAGCATACTGAGAATATGTATTTCTAGACATCTGAAATTGCAAAAAAAAAAATATTAGTAACAAGTCATTGAAAAAAATGCATAATTCAACAAATACATCTAAATATAAAAATTTACAAAATCTAAAATATAAATTGTTAATCTAATTCTGAGAACATTAAACTATCTCAAAACAAAATTTCAAAATTAATAAATATCAAAAATTATAAAATAATATATTAAAACTGTAAATATCATAAACTAATATTAGAAAATTATATATTAAATTTGCAAGTATCATATACTAAAAATTTCAATCAAATACAATTTTAAAAACTTTATACAAAATAACCTAAATCTAAAACAAAATCATCATAAACAAAATAACCTAAATCTAACAATTTTAATCTCTACTAACCTAATACAAAATCTAATAAATTTCAATTCTAATTTGTAAATCAAATACAAAACTAATAATTTCAATCCCTAAAACTAAAATACTTAATCTAATAATTTTCAATTCTAATCTGTAAATCAAATCTAAATCTAACTATTTCTAATTCCAAAATCAAGAGAAAATAATTGAAGCTAAGTAAGAGAGATTCTTACAGATTCGGCGGTGAGTGGGTGACACGACGGCGGCGAGAGACTGCGGCGGATGCAGCGGTGAAGAGAGTGATTAACGACGACAGCGAGAGAAGGTGGCGACGGATGCGGCGGCGAAGAGAGCAATTAGCGACGGCGGGAGTAAGCACAGATCTAGACCGGCGGCGAGCAGCAGAGCGGCGAAGAGGAGGAGAGAACGCGGCCAACAGAGTGGCGGAGAGAGGAACTGGATCGTGAGTGTCTGTGGCGTCGAGGGGGAACAAGATGACTTTTTAGAATTAATAAAGGGATCTGTCGCAATCCAGTCGCAAAAGGGGCGGTCCAATGAAATTCGCGTGTCCTTTTGCGGCGGATTTGCGACGGATCCGTCGCAAAATAGTCGCAAATAATAAAATAATTCGAATTTAGTGACTGAATATTTTCAAAGTTCGCAAAAATTTTAAAAATTTTTGCGTGGAGTCGCAACTCCGTCGCAAACAAAAACTTGGGAATATAGGTAGTTAGCAAATTTTTGATTATAGGAATGTATGTTAAGATATAAATATTTAATTTAAAAAATGTATATTGATTAACTATATATAAAAAATGTATATTGATTAACTAGATATTAATTTTAACTATATATATGTTTAATTGCACAGATATACATATATCATACATAATATTGGTTCTTTAAATCCTAAACTTCTACATTTTGCGACGAACCAGCGAGGGAGCCGTCGCAAAATCATCGCAATTTCTCAGTTTGCGTCGGATTTGCGACGGCTCTGTGGCAAATATGTCGCAAAATTATTAGTGATTCTACTTTTTAAAAAAAAAATTAATATAACTACTATAGGAAACGGAGTTTAGGAATGAATGGTTCTTTTACATTATAAATAAGAAACAATAGAATGTTCAAAAGCTTGGTTGCTAGCTAGAAGCGTAAACCCTAACTCAAACCCTAAAACTTCATCCCTATATCAATGCCCAAACCCTATAAATATTTAATTTAAAAAATATATATCGATTAACTATATATATAAATATTTAATTTCAATTATATATATGTTTAATTGCACAGATATACATATATCATACATAACATTGGTTCTTTAAACCCTAAACTTCTTCATTTTGCGACGAACCAGCGAGGGAGCCGTCGCAAATTCGTTGCAATTTCTCAGTTTGCGTCGGATTTGCGACGGCTCTGTCGCAAATATGTCGCAAAATTATTAGTGATTCTATAATTTTAAAAAAAAAATTAATATAACTACTATAGGAAACGGAGTTTAGGAATGAATGGTTCTTTTTCATTATAAATAAGAAACAATAGAATGTTCAAAAGCTTGGTTGCTAGCTAAAAGCGTAAATCCTAACTCAAACCCTAAACCTTCATCCCTATATCAATGCCCAAACCCTAAACCCTTCATCCCTAAGCCTTCATCCCTAGAATAGAAACTTCTGAACTAGTAATGCATATGATCAGACGTGAGTTCGATAAGAACGATCAGTCTGAACTCTGTTTCATATAATTGTATCTTTAAAATTTTGAAATTTGTTTGAAAATTACCAAGTGATTTTGCGACGTTCTTGCGAGAGGACCGTCGCAAATCAGTCGCAAACTGACAATTTGCGAGGGCTTTGCGTCTGCCCACTCGCAATC